AAATGGGGATCCTTTTGCAGGTCCAGTTTTCCTTTCATGCCTTTTCCATGTGTAAATCCATAACAAGCAAACATGTAGGTACTTAAATTGCTACTACCACGCTGACCGCAAAACCACTAAGGGTGCAAATACTAGATTTTTTCTGGAAATTCCTTTAGCGGGCAAAAACGATGCCTGAAAAATTAGAAAGCTTGAACCTCTGTAAATTTATCCCATGCGTCACTGACAGGAGCCACAGAAGCACATTGTATGCACAGAAGCACAGGTATTGTTTTCTGCAAGTAGCAGGATCTAAAATGTGTGCTTTCTATGCTGGATGGGAGAAGGTATTCTGGGAACAAATATACCCCTTCCCATCACCATGTAAGTTGAATGGTTTGTCACTTTGGATGTCTTAACATGGTTATTCTTCTAAAGTAGCTCACTGATAGGTCTTGCATTTTTATCAGAATTATCATAATACTTCGTGTTATCCTTAAAGATATGTTTCCTGGTGTTACAAAATCAGGCCAAAACCTCTACAAAGTTCATTTTGTCTTTGGTGTTGTAGAAAAGGCCTGGAAAGTAAGACTTGAGTAAAGCTCAGGTATGAAAGAAAGGGCAAATAAAAGAAGTTTCAAATTATTTTAAAGCCAGTGTCATAGTTTTTTGAGCCAGAAGTGACTTACGTCTTTTCATGGCTTAGATTTGTAATTTAAAGAACATTTTCACTGATGGACCAGCTTCCTTCAAAAAAATGCTCAGCCGAAATGGAATGGGATCAGTTTAAACTAGAAAAAACTATCACAATTAATAAAAGTCAAGTTTTATTAGAAAATCACACCTGGAGGAGATGGTTTACAAAATTTCCTGACAAATTTCCTGACAAATTTAGCAGAAAAAACTCACCACTGGCTACATGAACATAAAAGTTAGTTGTACTGGCTTTTCACCTTTGAAGTGTAAAGCCAGAGATCTGCTTGCAGTATTTAAGCCAGGAATATACCCCAGGCTTTCAGAGGCTTCTGCCTCCTCAGCATTATTTGATGGATGAGACTGACACAAGTAGCAATTGTCGTTCTATTGCAAAATTCCTTATCTGTAAGTTTATGGGCAGAACTGGAATTTGATGAATTTCAGGTCATGGTACAAAGTCATTTCTTTCCCTTCATTCTGGATTTTAGAAACATACTTTCCAATAACAAGCAATTTGATTTGTTTGTTCTGTTCTTGATTTAGTCAACCCATTCTGATGGCCAGAGATTTTACGAAAAACAAGTTTTCCCACAGTCTTTTGATTTCTGTGTGTCATGGTAACCAATGGCACTAAATAACAACAGTCTAGACACTTCAGGGATTGGATTGTAGCTATGGACAAGGGCCAGTGTAACAATGAGAGGAAGTTTTGTAAGGACAATTTAGCGGCAGATAACACAGAAGATGTCCTTGAAACAAAGGAAAATAACCAAAACAGGTGCAACAGCAGTTACTGAAACAGACTTCTGAGTGCTCTGCACACAAAAAAAGAGCAGAATAAAGAAGGTGCAAGAAGGCCAAAGCCTACAGCCATCGTTCAGCTGAAAATTCTTGCAGTATGTTGGATGTCTTTTGTGTCTCAGAAAATAAAGATTCAGTCCTACAGTAATGCAGTGTATTTCTCACGTAGACTGAGCTGAAGTTTGGAGAGACCATGTTGAGTTTCCTGGCCAAGCATGGATTCCTGTCTGAAAAGTGGCTGTTGTCTCACCCCTGCTCTGGGAACACAGCCTCATTTCATGAGCAGACGCCTTGAAATTTCCTCAGTCATATTTCATGAAGGGTGATACTGCTTGAATCTTGAATGACAATGATAGCTTCTCCCCCTGCCTAGCAATATCATGATACTGCCATGAATCACATAGCTATTTTTGGATAAAGTGATATTTCAGAGGCTGAGACAGGCATTGAGGTTCCCTTTCTCCCCTCCATTATCATTGCTATAAAATTGATCTGAGAACAGACCCTGGAAACTTCTGGTCATTAGTGTGTATTGGTTTTGTGTTGCAAGGTTTTGGTAGCAGGGGAACTACAGGGGAGCTTCTGTAAGAAGCTGTTAGAAGCTTGCCCTGTGTCGCACAGAACCAATGTCAGCCAGCTCCAAGAGAGACTCACCACTGGCCAAGGCTGAGCCCATCATCAATGGTGGTAGCACCTCTAGGATAACATATTTAAGAAGGGGGAAAAGCTTTGGTGGGCACCTGTTGTCCACCCTGTCCCCCTGCACCAGTGGTGGGGGAAGAAGTAGGCCCTTTAGGAACAGACTGCTCCAGTGTGGGTCCCCCACAGGGTCACAGTTCCTCCAGGAGCCTGCTCCAGCGTGGGCTTCCCACAGGGTCACAGCCCCTTTGGGCATCACCTGCTCTGGTGTGGAGTCCTCCCCCGGCTGCAGGTGGAGATCTGCTCTGCCATGGACCTCCATGGGTGCAGGGCACAGCCTGGCTCACCACGGGCTGCACCAGGGGCTGCAGGGGAACCTCTGCTCTGGTGCCTGAAGCATCTTCTCCCCCTCCTTCTTCACTGCCCTTGGTGTCTGCAGAGTTGTCTCTCATACATATTCTCACTCTTTCTGGCTGCATTTGTGTTGCACAGGTGGGTTTCTTCCCCCTTCTTAAACATGTTTTCCAAGAGTGCTACCACCGTCGCTGATGGGCTCAGCCTTGGCCAGCAGTGGATCCATCTTAGAGCCAGCTGACATTGGCTCTGTCAGACATAGGGGAAGCTTCTAGCAGCCTCTCAAAGAAGCCTCCTCTGTAGCCACCCTGCTACCAAAACCTTGCTACACAAACCCAATACATGGTGGTAGCTGCAATGTCCTGACACTCTGGATGATGCAGCAAAAGACCATGTGGGAGAACAGCAAGGCCATTCTGTGGTCAGAAGTTGACACACAAAGAAGTCACTCTCATGCTTGCAGTAAAATGGAAACTGGTGAGTGAAGCCACATCATGGTGTTAGCTGGTTGCTAAATAGCACAGCATCGTTATCTTAACCGATAGATCAGTGCCAACTACATGATAGCTTAATATGGGTCCAGCATTCTTCTGAAAACTTAGAAAGTGCAGTATGGAAATGGAAACTTTTCTGCAAAGTGATGCTACTGTAATCCATTATCAAAAAGCACTGTGGTGGCAAGTACTAGAGATAAGGCACCTGCTTGTTATCTGAATCTGAGAGGCACCTGGGAACGATAGGAAAGAGCGGAGAGTTACTCACATACCTTTTTATAATTAAAGGGATAATGATTTGATCTGGAATTAATGTTTGGAAGCAAGCTGTGTGGCTAGGGAAGCACTTTAGAATTCACACCTTCAAGTATTTGATTGCTGTAGAGGAGCCTGCTTTTTTGCCATGCAGCATATATTTGGTGTATAAAGAAATACAGAACAGTTTGACCTTGAAGCAATTAATCTCTTCTGAGGCACACGGGTTTTGAATGGACGTAGACATAATTAGAGTTTTTAAATTACACAAGGCGTGTTCAATCTTTCCATCAGTGTATAGCTGGAAAAAAATGTAGGAAGGATCTCTGGGGTAGAGGGAAGTATTCCTACTTTCTAGAAAAAAGATCTCCCATGTTTGGGAAGAAGGGGCTCCTTTGAATCTCAGTTCTTCTCAGTTTATTGCAATTTGATATAAAAGACCGGACATGAGTAAAGAGAAAGCTGCTGATAGTGTCTTATGTTTGCATCATATATCACATATTTAGCAAAAGGAGAGCCAGATATCAGTCATAGTGCCACTGTTGAATTTGTAGAAGGATTTAGAACTAGTATTTTTACCTTTTCCAGAGAAGTTTTCTATCCACTGTATTTACCAAAGGGAAATAAAAAAATACCTTGCATAAAGTTATTATTTGCCTTGTTCAGAAACCAATATATAGAATTGTATAAATAGTATAATAATAAACAAAGAAATGAGTTTCCTTCATAAACCTACATGGAAGAACTCCAGGAGTTCATCACCTTCTCAGTCATTCACATAATTCAGGACTAAAAGGGTTGATACCAATACTATGAAATAAGGAACAGAAAATAAGATCAGAATTGTACTCTGATCAGCCAAGGGGAAACTAGTGAAGAAATGCTTGTCTATATGAATTTACTTTCACTTAATTTCTATATCAAATAATAATGAGAGATAAATCCTCAGCATTTTTTAGGATATTTTTTCCTCTGCCCTTTAAAATACTGGCTATTCATTAGTTGTTTCGGATATTCTTAGTGTTATAATTAAGATCAAAATGTAATTCGAAGTCTAACAGCTTACAACTTTTCAGACCAATTTCTTACTTCTTAAAAAGACATGGTCAGGTACTTCTCTTTTGCATTTAAATTGTAAAGTTACTTCTTTTTTTTTTTTTTTTTTTTATTTTGATTTATCAGCACTGAATTCATACTTACTCTTAGGTGGGGACTATGTTTTATACCACTCATATAACAGGCTTGCCTTGATTCCAAATGTAGGTTTAAAAGAAAACAAAGGCTAAGATTAAAAACAGGATGCTACAGATAAATAAATACTAATTGAAATCAATAGAGCCAGATTAATTTGCATCAAATCAAGATCCAGACCATACTCTGAAGATCCATAAATGGGAACATAAATAGGCACCAATATTTTTTCCCCAAAACCACCTTTCTGAGAGTAATCACAGTACCTAAATGCTCTTAATTTAATCATTCACTGGAGGATGTTACAGGTAAGTGCTCATAATAAACAGTAGGTGTTTCCCTGAGGGCCATGATAGTTTGCATAATGTGCTAGCTATTTATTTTACAGTGTTATGGTGACAGAAAACTGTTACAGTACAGCTAACTCTAATGAGAAGTTTCATAAATGTCTTTTGCTAACAAGGTATCTTGTTTAAGTTCTGAGTTTCAGAGGTTAAAATAATACACCACCACCAGTACAGTTACTGCTGTTACATATGATCCAATTCCTTTTTCTTTAATTAACTTTGGTATGTTCTAATCTATTTATAGATGGAGACATCGAGAGCCCCACAGCTGGAGCAGATGTGGCTGTTATTGGAGGTAAGTAGCAGACCGTACTCAGCAGCACCATTAGAATTAAAACAGCAGGTTGGTTGATTTCTTGCATTTTGCAAAACCCCACTTTGCTGACAAGACAACAGGAGCGGCACAATTAGAGTTAATTAGGCCAGTGGGAAATCTGCTCCCAGAGGGGCTATTGGCAAGATAACAAGATGAGATAACGAGCATAAACCATATAGTGAACAGTACCACCCCCATCCATTCCTCATTTTAGGACAAAATACCTAACAGTCCAGCAGCAATGTCAACCTCTGATATTCTTCATTATTCACTGGGCCAAGATTTTCATTTAATACAGAACCAGTGTAGCACCTTTGATTTGAGTCATGCTAGCTCATACCAGCTGACCCTTTACTTTCACAGAATATACCACGGTGCATTTCCCGGCATTCCATTAAAGCTCTCTCATGCATTTAAACTAAATACAGTTGTCAGAATAAATGAGCAAAGCTATGTTCACAGAAAGAACCTGTCTTTTTATTTTTATTGTGTTTGTTCATTTCCATGCTAACACACTAATTTCAGTCATTCACAAGGGGGTATACCAATCATTAGTGCAAATTGGTGAGGTTCTGCTATATTTCCCTCAGGTCCCATCTCCTGTAACTTTAATTTCAGCTTTCTATGAACAAGTAGCAGGTAAATTGATTTGTACTTAGTCCCTTAGGCTTATTAATATTGTGCTACATCCAAAGCCTATTAAAGCCTCTTGTGTCAAGGGATACCAGTGAGGTCCTAAAAATTGATGAAGCCCCCACTGCAACTATGATATTATTGTAAACCTGAAATTCTTTCTATAAGCATTCTCATTTCTGTGAGCAGTAACTTCACTTTCCAAAACCAGGCACCATAAAATCTGCAGGATAACATTGCAGGCATATTTTTTAAGAGAGAGTTATCATTTTTATTTACAATGCTAATACTCATAGAATCATAGAATGGTTTGGATTGGAAAGGACATTAAAGATCATCTAGTTCCATCCCCCCTGCCATGGACAGGGACACGTTCCATTAGATCAGGCTGCTCAAAGTCCCATCCAGCCTGGCCTTGAACACTGCCAGGGAGGGGGCAGCCACAGCTTCTCTGGGCAACCTATTTCAGTGCCTCACCACCCTCACAACCAAGAACTTCTTCCTTATATCTAATGTATATCTACCCTCTTTCATTTTAAAGCCATTACCCATTGTTCTATCACCACATGCCATTGTAAATAGTCCCCCTCCTTTCTTGTAGGCCCCCTTTAAGTGCTGGAAGGCCACTAGAAGGTGTCCCCAAGAGCCTTCTCTTCTCTAGGCTGAACAACCCCAACTCTTTCAACCTGTCCTCATAAGGGAGGTGCTCCAGCTCCCTTTTCACCTTCATAGCCCTCCTCTAGACTCACTCAAGCATGTCCATGTTCTTCTGATGCTGGAGGCCCCAAAGCTGAGCACAGTGCTCCCGGTGGGGTCTCACGAGAGTGGAGTAGAGGGGGAGAATCCCCTCCCTCGACCTGCTGGCCACACTTCTCTTGATGCAGCCCAGGACACAGTTGGGTTTCTGGGCTGTGATCGCACATTGCTGGCTCATAGTCAGTTTTCCATCCATTAATACCCCCAAGTCCTTCTCCTCAGGGCCGCTCTCAATCCACTCACTGCCCAGCCTGAATTTGGTCTTGGGATTGTCTCAAGCCATGTGCAGGACCTTGCACTTGGACTTGTTGAACTTCATGAGGTTTGCACATGCAAACAAGCCTCTCAAGCCTGTCAAGGTCTCTCTGGATGGCTTCCCTTCCCTCCAGCGTGTCAACCACACCACACAGCTTGGTGTCATGGTCAAACTTGCACTCAATCCCATTGTCAGTGTCACCAACAAAGATGTGAAACATCACTAGTCCCAACACTGACCCCTGAGGAACGCCACTCATCACTGGTCTCCACTTGGACATCAAGCTGTTGAGTGCAACTCTTTGAGTGAGACCATCCAGCCAATTCCTTATCCACCGAGTGGTCCATCTGTCAAATCCATGTCTCTCCAATTTAGAGACAAGGATGTTACGCGGGACAGTGTGAAAAGCTTTGCACAAGGCCAGGTAGATGACATCAGTTGCTCTTCCCTTAAGCACCAATACTGTAACACTGTTGTAGAAGGCCACCAAATTTCTCAGGCACAATTTGCCTTTAGTGAAGGCATGTTGGCTGTCACCAATTTCCCCTGTGCCCTAGCATAGTTCCAGGAGGATCTGCTCCATGATCTTGCTGGGCACAGAGATGAGACTGACTGATGTTCCCCAGGTCTTCTTTTCTCCCTTTGCTAAAATGAGGGTTGTGTTTCCATTCTGTACATTCCCCCATTTTCATGCCAATGGAGTATCTCTGATCAGTTTAGTGATGCTGATAAATCTAAAGCTTTGGAGATACCCACTCCTGCCACATATCTTGAACACAGGGGACAGAAGAGATTTACTGTCTACATACCCCTCATCGTCTCCAGAATAGTAGGCATTTCCAGGGAGCAATTAATCTGACCAAATGTAGGAATTCAGTTCTAGAAGAGGAATTTACACACACACACACCCCTTCCACTGACAGTAGAGGAAGCCCAAGGGGAGTAACTCATATGGACCCTCCTGTCCTGTAGATGCCTACAATGGGTCAGACAAATTCCTACATATTGCATCTTCACAGCAGCTTCACACTCCAGATATGGATTTTCCTAGGAATGTCCTGTTCTGGTGCTTTTTATCGTCATGGAGTCATGTGAATATAGAATCAGCTCAGTATCATGTACTTGTACAGAATCACAGCTGAAGTCTTTATAAGCACATCCCAGCTATATGCAAGAAAATGTTAACAAAAATAAATACTACACTTATTGAATAAACTTCACAATACTTAATTTGTTTTCAGGATTCTTAACTGAACAATTTGATCTGGGATGAAGGGGATACAGCTTGTCATTTTTTAAAAACAACCAGGGGGTTGCCTCTCTTTTATGAACTACATTTCAGAATAGAGAAGGAAAAGAAGAAAGGGCTCTGGGAAACAAGGACACCCACTGTTCTCTGCACAACCACTCCTGGAACCTGAATTTGCTTTCCTTCACTAGGAGTGCTTCTGTTCATCGTTTAGTCCTATGCACATTGGGGTTACCTGTGGAAATTTTTGTCTAGTCAACACATTGATAGTAATTAGCCTTAGTCCAGTAGACAGGAAAGATCTACCCAGAGTCCCTTCCTTCTCCCATGTGTCACTTCCACATTCATTACAATCAGACTTTCTTAATTAGAGCACAGCATGAAATGGCAGCTTGCAAATACAGAGCAGAACTGCAGTCACACAGCTCCTGTTATTTGTTGAATGTCTCCTAAGAAATACTCACTGCCCTGTACTTCTCCTGTAACTGAGTACACTTACGGAGGCAGTCAGGTTGCCTGCAAACTCCCCTGGGTATCTGTTACCGGAAGGGTGAAAGAAACCTATTGGTTTTCCTTTATGTTCTCTAGTTCTCCTCATTCTGTAATGAACTTTTAACTCCAATGAGTTCAACTAAATCAAATGATGGATTTGAAAGATAGACAGTGAGAATTTGACCTGCATTCCTGCAGTATCTATGTCCCATATTGGTTTTTGCAGTGTCAGACTGTTCTGACAATGGACACTGCAACATGTGAGCATCCTATGATACATGGGCTTTTCCCTATCAAGTAATTCAAGTTGTGTTGTCTGCCTGTAAGATACTGCTCATATTTTGATCCTGACTGTTTAACTGGTCTCTTTCCTCTAGGTGTGATTGCTGCAGTGGTATTTGTTCTCATTTGCCTACTGGTGGTGATGGTCCGGTACATGTACAGGCATAAGGGCACCTACCACACCAACGAGGCAAAAGGAACTGAGTTTGCCGAAAGCGCAGATGCTGCTTTGAAAAATGACCCAGCTCTCCAGGAAGCAGTGGATGAGAGCAAAAAGGAATATTTCATCTGAGGGGCAAGGATTTCCATGGAGGCTTCTCCAAGGGAATCAATCAGAAATGCTACATCAACAGAAGTGCTAAGAGATGGATAATATGAGGATACAGGCAAGCATCCTAAACTGAAAAGTACCTCTTTACTTTTTTTGTCACTGGGTTGTTTCTTTTCTCTCCTGGTGAAGAACTAAATGCTGGGTACTTGCCTGTTGAAATTTATTAGCAACACAGCTGGTTACAGTTGAAATCAATATCAGATAAGAAGAAACAAAATCTCAGTATGAGTGATACACCAAAACCAGATAAAGATAGCAAATGTCAAGCCTTGACATTTGGTGAAAATAGCAGATGCCAATGGAAAATATCCTCTTAGAATTAATGATGCGTCCTATGCTGATATGATACAGAACTACCTGAAACTGAATTTCAAATGGTTACAGAACAAACATTAAACTAGATAAAACTGATGTAGCTGAAATAAAAATAGCTTTGTAGCACAGCTAACTCCCCCCTCCCCTTAAATGTGCAATTTTATTAGCACAGGGGACTTTGTTTTGTTTTTTGGGGGATTTAGATTGGGATTTTTTGTTAATTTTTTTGAATTTTATATATATATATAAATCAAAGACACTTCAAAGAAATAAACTGTTGGAAAACATGGGAAATGTAAGAATGAAGGACTTATTTCTAACTTGCTCTGCATGGCAGCTTGAGAACTGCAAAATGTTGGAATTTACAATGTAGCATACAATAGTCAGTAGACTTACAAATACAATTCCAATTAGTAAGCTCCCTGCACGCATGCATAAATAGGTAGATGTTAAAAAATAGAACATCTTGGTTTGAGCAGGACTTCTGAGTAAATGGAACTCAGCTAGATTTTTTTTCATGTAAGATATTTTTGCCTGAGTATTTATTTATTTATTTTGCATTGGAAAATTCTCTTGAATGCTAGCCAGCAGGATTTTGGATTTTTGCAGGGAGACAAATTCAGTTCTGGTGCAGATACCAACGAATGTTTTACAAATGCAACCATAAGACTGCCACTGTAAAGAAGTTTGTTCATCTGCATCCCACTGGCTTGTATGGATGTCTCCCTCTGTATGGACTCTCTATATCCTTTGCATTGTGCTAGCTAAGAGAATTACACCAACCATCAGTGCTTTATTTTTAACAAATAAATAGATTAGTCATGGTGGGTCACATGAAAACATCTTATTCCTTGCCTAAGATCGACAGTGATGAGTTTCTTTAACCCAGTAAGTTGTCTTCCTAACTGAAGCCCACAGTTATCTCTGCAAATAGGATAATTGTTCTTTTCACCTGCTCACCCCCAGCTGCAGTGGTGCACTGGACTACTGAAAATAGAGGGGGAGAAATACACTATAACAAATAAGATACTGATGAGCTCTGCTCAACTTTATGTATTTTTTCCTATGTTTTGATCTATATATGTGTGTACATACATATAAAGTCACCTACAGCTGTGCTTTCAAGACATTGTTGCTGATCACTTGTGCTCACTTCCTGGCACCAAAGCTTGGAAAGCTTCTGGATTCCAGTATCCATTACTGACACTGGCCACAAATATGCTGTAAGAGAATACAGATCTGAACAAGAAAAGACTCTGAGGACCCAAGTGAAGAAATGGGATATTTTTGTCTTTCAATCACAATCGCAGTCTTTTCTCAGTACTTGAAGGGGATGGACTCTGGTTTATTCTTAGAATCCTGATACCTATGATTTTGAATCTTAAATCCCTGCTTCTTTGCATTTTAACCAAAAATATCAAAATTGTGCCAAATTTACTAAATGCTTAAGATATTTTTTATAACATACCATTGCACAACCACATTGTATTCTGTGGCTAGTGCAATATAAAATGCCTAAACCCCAGCACTATCAGAGTTCAAATATTTTGGTATTATCTACATGACTTTTTATTTCTAAGATGCATTACTATCTTAATCTTTTTACTACTTTTGGAAAAGAATATGGTTTTATTTTTCTGGGACAAGTGTTGGAGAAATTCACTAATCTTAGCTGTAAGGTTGAATTTGTAAAACTGAAGACCCCTGACCATCCAGTTCAGTAAAAATGTAAATATTTCCTCTGAGGAGAGGATAAATGTGGTGATTTGAGCTCTGCTGCATCTCCCACACAAGACATGGAAACACCATGAACCATTCCTCCAGTTCTAGCAGGACCTATAGAGGGCTACCAGCCTTTTGTTCCCTGTTATATATTCAAAACCATGTGAGGTTAGCCTGGTTGTTAAAGAAAATTGACTTTAAAGGAAGGCATGAGGAACATGGGGAGTAAATTCCTGTCTCTCTCCGCAGTCATGAAATTCTATTTTTTGCAACTTGAGCCTTCTGCTTATAATTAGACAACTGTGTCATACCTGATACACAGGAGAACCTGAAATAGTGTCTCTTTTGGGGGGTGCGTGAGTTTTTTAATTATGAGGAGGACTTGAGACAGGCTAACTGTCCACATTGGAACATAAGGGCCAGATTTTCTGGTGGTGTATGAGTTAGTGGAGCTCAGCCAGTTCTTCTCAGTTCAGTCAACACCAGGCTTTGAGTCATTGCTTTCCCTAAATCTGAACTGAATGCAACTACTGGTCTTTGACTATATTCCTTCTTAGTAGCTTAGTTAAATCTCTTTATCCCATTTTCCCTATTCATCTAAGCTGACAAACAGTCCAAGCGTACAGCAACAGCTTCCCTATCGGTAATGAGCCACTTTGAATATTTGCAGAGCAGTGACTCCAGCAAGAGCTATGGTTTCAGTTAGTTTATTTTTTTTTACAGTGTTCATTTGGGTTTTAGGACTTTGTGTATTTAGAAATGACTCAAGCACGCTGAACAGAAGGAAGAGTTGGTTTGTAGAGATTTTCTGTCTATTTTTTTTTCCAGGACAAATTTTGCTTTGTAATGAAGAAAGCTCATGACATTTGATGACTGGCAGACTCTCATGTCCTCATCCTGCTATTTTTTACTCATACAATAACTCTACTGTCTTGATTCATTCAGTTTAGCTATAAAGAGAGTATATTATAAACTTCCTATAACTTTTAGGACTAATTAGCAACACATCCTTCTGCAAGCAACATGCTGTGCTTAAACAAACATGATGTACAACACCGAGACATCTCAGCTGGCAGCCATAGCTTTTCATCACTGATGATTAAATGATTTTTACAATTTGCTTCCTGAATAGGAGAATTAAGGAAACAGATTCTTTTTTTCCCCACATACTTTTATCCCGGGTCCCTCTACTGCTGTGGCCTGTTGTCCTGCGACTCTCTGGTGCCCCATCTACCCAACCATGACTGCTATTCTTGCTTGCAATCCCCAGGCTCCCATCTGGATCACTATCTGGATCACCACTGGATCACTCCCCTATGGCAAAGGATTGGCCATTTATTTATGTATTTATTTATCTATTTTTATCAGTGAAGATACTCTGTCCCTCTCTGCCAGCCAAGAACCAATTTTCAAAAAAAGTTTAGCTTTGGATTGACAATCCTGTGTCAAATTTTATCAAACCTGAGAAAGCTGACCTGAGACTGATCACATATGCCACATTTTCAGAAAACAGATCTAAACTAGCACTGCAAGCTCTGTAGTTAGTTAAATTTAGTGCTATAAATCTCCAGTGTGCACTAAACAAGGGAACAGTATGAAGATTCCTGATGCCTTAATGCCCTGTGAAAGCTTGTTGAATCACACTTTGCATAGAAAGCCACAGGTCCACATTTAGAAATATAAGTAATTTCTCAATGATGTAAAGGAAAGCTGTGCATCAAAATGACCAATATTTACTGGAGCTGGAAAAGAGAAGATAAAAAAGATCTTGTAGGAATACAAGACATTTTTTAACGATATAGGATATGACAAAAGTTAGTATTTCTTATTACATTGGTAAGCTTTAATTGTGGGTTCATGGAGTTTTCAAATTCTCTCACTGAAAAGAATCTTTGTTTGCAAAGGGAAATTAATCTCCTTTTAAACCATCTCTTCTTGTTTGGCTTTGAAAACAGTCTTCACAGATTCAATATTCTACCATTCTGCTTTAGCATCTGGAACTCAATTTCTTTGCATTTTTGGAGCATGCCTGTACAGTCCTGCCCTGCACAATGCTGACTGCTTGCCAATGTCAGCCCCTGGAGCAGCATTACAGCTCAGCAGAGTAATTCTGTCCAAAAGTGAGCCCCAAATGTGTATCTGGCCACCCATTACTGGTACGCATTTTTTTCTGGGGCTTGGCTTCTATCATTCCAGGTTTTCCTGAGGTCCAGTGTGCCATTGAACATTAATGCAGTCCTGCAGAGGATTTAATCAGCCACTAGTCAAAGTAACTATATATGTATTTTTATCTTTTTTAGAACAACAGGACCAAATAACTTTGGGAGACTATCAGAACATCAACATTGATTTTTCTGTTAAATCAAATCTAGGGGTCATTGGGGGAACACCAGGACAGAAAACCGAAAAGGACTGTTCCCTTTCAGCACAGAATGCAGACAAGGTGCTGAAACATTTTTAGCTGCAGGATAAGTAGGATAGCACCACTAGCTACAGCCTGTGAGGATTCCTCACAGAATACAGGAAACACTGAGACAAGACGTAAATCAGTAAAAAGATACATGGTAGGAGAAGGCAATTAGATGCCAATAGAGATGGAGAGTAGTTTTTCATCAAACAAAATAGATATTGCTGTTTGGAGAAATCAAAGTGTATTTGTTGAAGGTAACTGCTGACAACAATTTTCTTTGAATTATATGAGGTGTCTGAATACCTTGCATGTGCAAGTCCCATCAAAAAATGCTGGTAAATACACAGCAAAAGGGTATTCACTTTAAATGTATTAAGAGATGTTTATTGCATTTTCTAAGATCTCTCAGTTCTTCACATGAGAAAGCTTTGTGTATTTAGAAAATGCAGAACCTTCACAGCAGCAGTTCTTATAAGTCAGAAGACTAAAGAACCCCTGGATAAGCAATGAACACACATCTGATGCCTGGAAATTTAGGTAGTTAATAAAGGAAGCTAACAATACCAAAGAAAAACACATATCGTGAGTAAAAATTCCAACCATATTACAAAAAAATGAAATGTTTGTAGTAGTAGAAGTACTTCTCTAGTTCAAGATGGTGATATTGTCAGTGAGTGGAAATAAGGAATCCTTATTCTACATGACTGTTCCCTGTGTCGTTGGGATAAAATCCCACTGAATTCAGCAGAACAAGAATTTTGCTGACTATATCTATCCTTCCTGCAAAAAAATTGTATTCCGACCCATGTCAGAAAGAAACACAGTAAATTAAAGTAGAAATCTTTATACGTGCTGATCTTTCAGCATATCCTCTTGCCTTCCCACTGTTCTTCTGTTGTTTCAAACTCTATGTATGGCAGAAAGTATCTGATACATTCTATTAAAGTCTATTTGAATTGCAGCATTGCTATGACAAGAATAGAGAATACAGAGCATTCAAAGCTTACTGCTGATTGTATGTTAAAGCTGACTATAATGTTTGTATTTACCAAAGCTATTAATACTTTGCTGGTGTAAATCTACTATATCTTGAAAGGGGGGGGAAGCAGCTAAAATATGAAGAAACAAATAACTTTACAATTAAAGTTGTCATTTTCAGCATTTAAAAGACTGTTCTCATATTTTTTGTTTTCTTTTAAAATACCATGAACTTTTAGAATTGCCAATTATATTGTTGTCATAAGAATGTAGATCAAAAAGGAATAGCAGGCTAGAATTTTTCTTAATAGAGCATGCAAACCCTAAAAGATATACTGCTGGTGTTTGCATCAAAAAAAAAGGAAGAAAAAGCTTTTGATACATCTGAGAAGGAGTAAAACTTCAAATAAGAAATCAAACAATAATTCTCTCTGAAGGAACATTACCTTGTGAATGCCAGTGTGGATCTGTACACCGGTCTATTATCCTAGGCACAGTATTCTTAAAAATTCTAGGCAGTCTTGCACACATCTAATGGGTCTTTACTGATGGATGGCCTGCCTTCCACCCAGCTGCTACCAAATGTGAATGCTTCTACTTTATTCTTCATACTTTCTATACAATTTCTCTTTTATCTTTATATATCGATAGTTAAAGAATATTCAGAGGCTATGTCTAGTATAATATATATTGTAATCTTGCCACCGTTGCTCCTTTTTTCAAAGATTATTGCTGTCAGGGGGGAAAAAAAAAAAAAAAAAAAAAAAAAAAAAAAAACCAAAACAGTAGATCTTTAAGTGATATATTATTGGTTCAAAATGGTGCTTGAAAATGGTGAAAACCTAGAGTACCAGAAGGACAGTGGATCATCTAAGTTTTAATATCTGTAAGTGGAGAAGTTGTGGTAAAACCAGCTCTTCCAATGGGCCTTTCATGTGCCATAGGACTTTGATGTGTACAACTGTTTGGAGGCCAGCAACAGTCAAATGGTTCATAAGTAACGTTCTTGATGGGATGACAAGCAGAGAGGTAAGACTGCTGAAGATTAGACCCTGGATCCTCCATTATTAGCCAACCTTGTCCTTGACTGCATATCCCATCTGACAATGGGATTCAGTGTTATTGGAGCTGTTTTAGTAACCTAAATCTGTGATGGCTTTTACTGTAACCAGTGGCACTGCATGATATGGAGATTGGCCAGTGGTTGTTTGCTGAGGAATAATGAAAGTGTGTTGGAACCAAATTCATCCTTTATGGATAACGAGTAGCTGACAAGCTTACATCAGTAGTTGACAAGCTTACAGCAAAAACAAAGAGATGAATAAATGAAAAAAAAAAAACCACAAATAAAGGGAAATACATGAAAATAAGACTTTTCAGCAATATGTGTAATCACATAGCAGGATCTTATACATATGTATGATCTGCTTCACACCTCTTCTATCATCAGTGCTGAACCTAAAGTCTCAGTACAGGATATTTTGACTACACTGAGAAAAAACAGGGTCCAAACCTTGCAGTAATGAACCTGCTGCCCACCAAAGATTTTGATTAACATTTCTACTTCAGCTTAAAAAAAAAAAAAAAAAAAAAAAAAAAAAAGGTGTAAAAAACCCTTTTGCAGCCAGTCTTGCTAGGGCCAGTCTTGCTAGGGCTACATGTAAAGAGGTTTCCTAATTTCTGATGTTAGGCTAATGACCAGGAAGACCTGAGTGGTCACTGAATTTCCAGCATCTTTGAAAGAAAGTATTTAGTCTCCCTGAGGGATTGCTAGCAGATTTACTTGAAAGCCCTTCTCAGTGTGACATATGGATATGCTGATAAAATGCAACTCAACACCACATTCTTGGTTACTGGGACAATCATCCTTATTCATTCTAACACCTAATGGAGTGATCAATAGCATTTTAATAAAGTCTGCTGTAAGTCGTATTTAACTCAAATAAGATTTTATATTGTATTTCGATTAAATTACACTTTCAGTCGTTCTTTACTGTCAATTTCTGCTTTCCTCTCCATTCATAAATTTTTGTTTCAAAAATGCATGTATGACCCTCAGGGCTCTCCATACTTTTTCTAATATTCCTGTAATGTTATGCATAGATACAGCCTTGCACTCAGAAATTCTTCTATAGAGCTGAAATATCACCATTCCCTTCTGTTCAGCAGTAGCACAACTCACCTACCAGACCAGAAGTTGAAGAACCAGAAAGATTATTACATCTCTCAGTTTTCTGGTAAAGGGATAAAGACTGTTGTTCCATGAAGGGAGCTCAGGACTCTCTCAGTCTTTCTTCTTGCATGACATGATTCATGCTTCTGACACGAGGACATAAGAAAGCAGAAAGAAAAATGAAAGGCAGAGCACAGAATTAGGAACAAGCTGATTCCTCTGAACAGCAAGGTGCTGAACACTTGCTGAAAATTAAGCCACAAGAATTAGTCATAGAGACTTGTGCCCAGGCCCCAAATAATTATTTTTCTTAGTCTTCACATTCAATACCTCTCTCCCCTTCTTTCCCCCCAAAAATATCTGACAGTTCTGCTTAAGTTTAACCAGATCTCTCATCTCTGCAGCTTTACTGACTGCAATGAAAAATTAATTACAGACCCAAGGAGAAGAACAAATAGTTCAGGATCAGATTACTTTAAACCTTATCTGACCTACCAAGTCAGCTTACTCACTGTCCCACTTGGAGTTATAAGTTACATGGATTTTTAAAGCCTGTCCCATTTTTTTCATTTTGCCCCAGCCTTCCAGTCCAGTTTTTGTCCTCTAGTGCTGTAGTAGTAGGAAGTTTCTTATTAGATTATGGCTGACCTTTTCATAGATTAAATCTTCAGGGGAGGGAGGGGATAGTTGTTGGTTCAGTTGTGGGGTGTTTTTTCCTTTACAAAAAAACTTTTAACTTGACAAAACAGTTTTGTCAAACTCCATTCAGTAAGGCATTTCAGTAAGGAAGGTAATGGCAGTTGTGAGTGAAGGTCACGTTCCCAAAGGTCAGCCTCCCTACCCAAAGCAGAGGGACACTGAAGATCTAAAAGAAAGCATTACCAGAATATTGTTCTGACATGGATCAAAATTACCTTTTCTATAAACCAATTCTTGGCCAAAGTTTAATTGTTTTTGAAAAAAGTTAACCACTTAACTCCTCATAATTGTCTCTTCTCTGCAATAAAGAGTAAATAAATAATCAATTACCTAAGGAAAAAGCGTTTTCAATCAAACAAATGAATAAGAGGTTATTATTCACTAAAACAGTTTATTTTCCATCGGTTCTGTGCTGTATAGTAAAATTTGTTAATAGTGCAGAAAGGCAAAGTAATATTTTTGTTTCATCTTCCCTCTGCAGTAACATTCATGTGTCATTTTCTCTAATAAACATTTTTCTTGTGCAGTGTCTTCCCAGGTCTTGCCCTCTCTCTCTCCATGCATTGGGTTAAGGTGGAGCTCAGAAAATATATATAATCATTCATTGCCTATCTCTGAGCACAGGCAGGAGTTCACATCTTCCAAGGGCTCTGTTTTGTTTTATTGGTATTATTATGGAAAATTAAACCCCTGAGAAAATGCTATAGAGTTTCTTTAAATTGTGTATTTAACATGTATCTCTGTAGTCACTATCCAGACTATCTGCAAGAACATATCCTTGTTTTTATTTGCTAACAATCTTCCAACATTGTCTTCTCCACCCTGTTGCTGTGAGTACAAGTTTTAAGTCTGTATTTATCCAGTCTTAACTCTCAGCAGTATTCTTCCAGAAAGCCTGAGAAAATTACAGCATCATCAGTGTAAGGCTTCATAAGGATGCAGTTGGGTCATGGTACATGACATGGTACATTCTGTTGCTAGCAGTCAGGTTGTGGGATGTTCATTTCATTTTAGTTAACATCGTCAAAGCTGACTTACGCTTTCCTAACTAAAGCTGGTTCTGAAGAAAACCAGAAAATCCTTTGGATTTTGCAAGTAAAGCAAAAATCTCCTGTATCTTGGGTAAAGCTCAGTGATTCCTAACAATAACAAGTTTGGCACTCTGTTGTCTTCCACAAAGGTGAAGACTTCTTCTGCAGTTATACATGCTGGTACCTTAAAAGCCACTGGTCATAAAGAGAACTGAAACTTGACTGTTAAAGCTAAAAGCAGGTTCTCCAGATTTAGCTAGGCAATTAAAAGATTCCAGCTGAGACTGGTGACTCTCTCACATCCTTAGTTGGTCAGGAATACTTAATACACAAGAGATGTGTTGGCATAAGCTTCTATTGGGATAACTTAGAAAAATTACAAGTGACTTCCTGCACTTCTCTATCCAATAGATCATGATATATACTCAGTGAGTATCCCTTTTCAATAAAACACAAATTTCAGTTCTGTCTGCTCCAACAACAAATTGCATGAATATTTTGTCCCCCTGCATCTAGAAAATAATTTTTAGGAGTCTCCCTTCAGCTGTACAGTATCTTATAGACCATTGTACTGGGTCTGGCTGAGCCGGAATTACTTTTCCCCTGTAGCAGCCCTCGTGGTAGACTGTTTTATGTTGGGAGCTGGCAGGGTGTTGATAGCACATGGTGTCGTGGCTACTGCTGAGCGGTGCTTACACAGCACCAAGGCTCTTTCTGACGTTTCCCCCCTCAGTGGGATGGGGTGGGCAAGATCTTGGGAGGGGACACAGCCAGGACAGCTGACCCCAACTGACCAAAGGGATATTATATGACATCATACTATGTGACGTCTGCTCAAGTATAAAGCTGGGAGAAAGGAAGAAGGGGACAGGGTCATCCTTGGTCCTCCAAGGCAACCACTACACGTATCGGAGCCCTGCTCCCTGAGAAGGCCTGACATTGCCTGTTAATGGGAAGTAGAGAATAATTTTTTTTTTTCCTTCCGCACGTGGACCTTGGCTTCACTTTGCTTATATTAAAACTGCTTTTGTTTTACCCACAAGGGTTGGTCTATCTTATTTTCTTTCTCCTCTTTGCCCTGTTGAGAAAACAAGGGGAAAGGGGGGGAAGTGATAGAATGACTTGTTGGGTACCTGGCATTTGGCCAAGGTCAGACCACCACAACCATATAGGGGCACCACAAGCCCTCTAAGAGTTATGGAGCAGAAAAATTACTTCCCCAAA